GGAATTTCGGCTGCTTACACGCACGCTCATCTATTTATTTATTACTATTATTATTATTTATTCCTTTCCCTTTTCTCCCAAGTTATTTTCACGTGCATTGGACCACATATTAAACTATACTTTCCCTTTTATTATTATTATTATTATTTATTTATTTTTTTTTGCTCTCGCTCGCTCTTCTCTCTCCACCCTCCTTGGGACCCAGTGTTCACTCCTTAATGTTTCATTACTATCTCAAGTCTACCGCTATTAAATATTGTCTTGTGCACTTTGCAATCATGATATTTGTGTACGTGACTAAAGTGTGGTGGGCCATAACTTACAGGTCATCTTTATTATCGACATCGCCTATAAGTTCAACTCCATTGATGGATTCTCTTCCGCGATTTTGCGTCTCAAGTTTTTCTTGCCCATACATTAGTTTTCACCGTTTTTACCATTTCATTTTCCATTCACCTCGATTCTCAATACACTTCTATGTCATTTGCTATGGATGTCGATCAAAGAACTCCACACCTCAACAATCAAATGCGACTATTGTTGCAAATCCTCAGCTGTCGAGAATCGTGCACTACAACTGATATCAAATCCAATGCATCACAACTCAATAAACCGATTCAATGACTTGTATTAGTTAGACTTGTTTTAATCTATTGACAATCTTGAGAGTAAATTAAGTTAAGTCGGTGGAACATCTAATTGCAAATGACGTAGAGGGAATGTCAAGTTCGAGTTCAAATTGTAACTCATAAATTCTGAGCCCGAAGCATCACAAAAATTGTGTCTATAATCTCGACCCCAAACCCGCTTTAAATATTTAAATATCTTGTCACAAAATGGGGCCTTTCAACTATTTTTGTCGATCTCTATTTGAATGCTTCGTGTTGTGATATACACCAAATCTTTAGCACTATAGTCCTTCAATTATCGACTCATGCTTCTAATCAATACATCAAATTTATTTATTTATTGTTCGTAGAGTTAGTAATGGGACCACATGAATTTACACGTGACATAAAATTAACTAACTAAAATTTTTAATCAATAATATTTCTTTTATTAATTATAGGTCACTCTGTTATAGACATATAGTTGAACTTTTATGACTTATAGGACAAGTTATATTAATGAATATAGTTCTTACAGACAAGTCGATTCTTCATAAGTTGTTCGTAACTACAATTAGGTCTAAAGAATTACACTTTTCACCTAATACTCGTTCTCTAATGAATAATTTGTCTGTGAACCAACCTTATAATAAGTCCCTTTCAAACGATTAATATGGTGGGGCCTTATTATTCAAGTCAAAATCAACATTTTAAAAAGCTCATTTAAAGGTCAAGTCTCCAAAGACAAGAATTTATAACTCAGTCAAGGATCATCCGCTGAAATATTAATTTTCTCAATTAATTATTTTATAGTTCAGTTTTATTCAAATTCATTACATAAAATATCCATCATTTGTAACAATTACAAAGTATATCATATTAATAGTGTTACCAAAATAAAGGATCCGTCTTTATCCATATACTATTGATTTTTTTAAGTTATTAGTTTGCGAGAACTAAACATTATAACCCCGCTAAATATTTATGGTTGTCAATATGAACATGGTAATTGATAGAAATTCAAATCCTCGTACATTTAGATATTTTTTAAATTGAACAAACATTAATGCAAATGAGTTACCCTATTTGAGATATTAAGTGAAAAAGGGTACATAATTTAACTGAGACCACATTCGAATGAGAGCGATATTGAGAACAGCATAACTAAAAAGACTTAAAAGAATTGAAAATAATTACCTATACTAACAAAATACGCTTTTTTTTTTTTTTTTTTGTAGCTCAATCATAGAAACTTTAAGGTTAACTGTGTAAGATGCAGGAGCTATCTATGTAGTAGACTAGAGTCTAACATGTGACTGACTTCAAACATAAGCGATTATAATATCAGCCAATTTCATTCTTTTAACTAACTAAGGAAGAATTTGCAAATTGATAAAACCGGGCGAGGACAAAGTAAACTTGAAAGAGTTGGTTTGTAGGGATAGTCTTTACTCTTACGAGCGAGAGCGAGAAATGAGTAGTAAAAATATTAAAAAAAAAAGGAAGAATGGATAGAATTTAAAGCAATAATAATAGAAACACCAAAAGAGTGACAATAGTGAGAGCACAAAATAATTGTGTATGGTTGATTTGTTGGGTCATTTTCCCAAGAACCACATTGGGACTCATCAAAATAAAACCATGGAATTGGAGAAATTATTATTTTTTAAATATATGTTCCCAATTTTCAACCCAAATTATTGCCCACATCATTACTTATTTCATTACAACAAATAATAATAATAATAAAATAATAATAATAATAATAATAATAATAATGTTGTGTTTTTTAAGATTTTTATTTTTTATTTTTTATAATTAATATGTGTTTTTTTTTTAAGATGTTCAAACACTTGATTACTTTAAATTCACATGTAAAATTCGACATCAAACATTGTTTATAAGGGTGTGAAAATTTCTCCTTATCACACACGTTTTTAAATGGTAACATAGCCAAACACTCGGTGATTATCTCCGAAAGGGGTTGGACATCAGCCTGTGTGTCAATGATGACGTTGGATCCCGAAGAAGGGTGGATTATGAGATTCCTCATTGGTTGGAGAGGGGAACGAAACATTATTTATAAGAGCGTGGAAACCTCTCTTTAGTAGACACGTTCTAAAAAAAAACCCGAAAGGGAAACTCAAGGAAGACAATTATTTAATTAAAGTTTGTCCAACAATCGCTTTGTGTTTTTTTTTAAATACCCTTAAAATTTTAAAAAAAAAACTTTTAATTTTTTAAAAAATATCTTTATCATCAGTAAAAGACCGAATTATCACATTTCAACTATACTTACGAACTTTTAAAAGCAACATTAATATCTTTAAATTTTGTTACATAGACATAAAAATTTACGAATTTCCAATTTGAGTTATTACTCCAAGTTTCCATTTATTTAATTCTAATACTTTCCATTTTGGAGAGTTTACTTATAAATAAAAATTCTCATCCCAAACTCATAGAATTAATAAGACTATTGATATCAATTTTTTGAGTTTGAGAGGGTAATTTAGTCATTTATTTAGTCCGTACAACGATCCATGTTCAGGATATCGGAAGATTTCAACATTCTCATGCATCCTATTCGACATGCTTACGTTACTTACTTCATCGTTAACGATCATGTCCTATAAATTTTTCTAGTACATGTGAGTAAGGACAAAACATGCTGGAATGACTCGTGTTAGTTTGTGAGGATAGTCTTCAATTTTAAGAAGTGAGGAGTAGGTGACGTGACTATGTCACAGTAGAATGCTAGGACTATTATGGACCGAATTCGAATTTCAAATCCTATCCATGCGTCATTAGAGCCCGACACCTTAATAGAAATTTTTATATAAAAAATTAAGTTTAGGAAATAAAATAAATATTTAAAAAAATTTAAAGATGAAAATACATAATTATTATATATATATATATATACGAAAATTAGAAGCTATTTTACAAAAAGAATAATGATAATAAATAATGATAAAAACATCAAAGTATATGCACCGACATAATCAAACTTCTTCGTATGTTCTTTTAACATTATCGATCTAATTTATTAAATTATTCTAAGTTTTTTATACAATAATTTATTGGTGCCCGAACACTACAATCATAAGAAATCTATGATTAAGTGTGTTTTGCTTGGAAGAATGCTGATTTGTGGGGATAGTGTTAACTTTTAGGAGCGAAGAGTAAGTATCGTGATCCTTTGTGACAGTAAAATATTATTTAAAAATTAGACAATATTTTGATAAAAGAAAAAACACAAAGAATTTATTATTTTAAAATCTGAACTAATTTTAAGTTTTGAAAAATAAAAATAGTAAAAACAGAGCATTAAAGACAATGATTAAATACATGTTACATTTTCTAATTATGGCATCTTCTTGGATATTCTTTTAAGCCTTCAAATTATATTTCCACCCTAAAAAAAAATAATAAAAATGTACATAAATTATACTTTATTTTTTTCGTCCATATATTATAGGAATCTTATAAAACAAGACATAAAAATATATTTTTACGTCATCTATTTAAGTTACGTATCATTTTTTAATTTAAGAATAATAAAAATGTCCTAAATCGTTCTTTCATATTTCTCTAGTCACTAGATTTTTCGAAGCTTTTTACGGTAGAAAAAAGGTTTCCATAAAGTTTATTAAAAAAGATCGACCAAAAATCTGCTATTTCTAATAAGGAAAAGACCAAACCTTCAGCCACGAATCAGTCCACGTCCACTCTCTCTTTAAACTGTGCATCCACACCCATTATGCCCATCAACACTACATTACCATTTAAGAGTGTGAGATACAAGGAGAGAACAGATTTCGTTTTCTCAAAGTGCAACGCCAGCGATATCTCGATTCAATTGTATCGTTCAATAGAGAGCTATCCCCAACATAGAAAAGATGACTATCAAACCGAGGTACATCATAGTTACTCTTCAATCATTTACTATTACGGTTCCACTTGAAACAATTTTCTAGTATCAAATAGCAAAAGTTGAATTATAAAAAAGAAACAATATACATTGAACCTATTTTATTAGAGAAAAGACAACCAAGTTATAGTCAAAGAAGAAATTAAAAAAAAAAAAAAGAATTAAAATGAAAAGAAGAAAAGGGGGAGGAGGGGAAGGAGAAATGGATAATGAAACTTAGCAAGGAAGGGGCAAGCAATTAATAACATGGAGATAGTGATGGTCAAGAAAATGGTCAAAATTAGCACATGATGCTGTCTACTTAAAATCTTTTTTATTTTTATTTATTTATTTCTTTACATAGTTCAGTGGGTTTGTTGATTATGATGGAAGGGCATTTCGGGGATTAATCAAACAGTGTTTATACAAAGATTAACCATGATTAAGGTGTGAATTAGAAACCCAAAACAAATAATAATAATGATAACAAAAGAGGGAGATGCAGAGTACAAGAGGTCGCCATTTTCAAGGACCCAGAAGGAAAGCAAGATGAAGCAGAGCCTTAAACAAAGCGAACCAGTAGAGAGAGAAAGGGTTTGTTTAATCTGAAGGAGAGAGAGAGAGAGAGAGAGAGAGAGAGAGAGAAAGAAAGCTCTGTTCTGTGTTTTGTGTGTTTGAGAGAAGAAGTTGTCTGGAGATTGTAGGGGAAGATAGGGAACACTGCTTCAGCATTTGGTCTCTCTCTAACTCAGCAAAACCAAACCATTTCTTTTCTTCTTTGTCCATTTGCTTTTCCGGCGACTTTGCCGGAATCCCTCCCCGGGGTTCCACCGTTGTTCACCTCCTTCTTCTTCTTCTACGCCATCGTCTTTATTTTTTCTTTCACTCTTTTTTGGTTTAGGGTGGCTGATCGGTCAGTAAAGCTGACTTTTCCCGCAACTTTTGGTTTTTCGATCTGTTTTTTTTTTTAAGCTACTGGAAGTTTAAGTTTCGTTTCGCCGGAGAAGATGAACCAGTGAGTTTTCTGTGGGTGGTTTTTCTTTTACATCTAATTCAATAGCCTGTGGAACTTGGCGTACGGCGGAAAGCAATGAAGACGCCGGCGAATGGTGCCGCCGCCGTGCCTAATTCTAGCGAAGGTACTCTTTCTCTCTCTTAATTTATCTCTCTGAAAGAAATCACAGAACATCAATGAATCACACAGTGAAATTCGTAAATCAAATCTTCTTCTTCCTCGGTTCCATCTCTAGCTTAATCTCATTGAGCTCAGAGAAATTGGGAAATTCTTCTCAAAACCCTTGGAAACCATAAAAAGCTTTCAGAAATTCAGTCTCGTGCTTAATTTTCAATTCTATGAACCATGGAGATTAGGTATTTTTTTGCCAAAATCTCCACGAAATTCTATGGAACTCTTCAAAACTTACTCGCTACAGTTCGACAAACCAGAGAGATTATGCTGTTTTCCCCAAAACCTTCAAGAACTCACTCCTGTCGATTCAATCTCGAGCTTAATTTTAATCGAACTCTCATGAATTAAATTAGCTTTCTACAGTTCGTTAAACGTGAGAGATTAGGAATTTTCCGAAACTTCAAAAAACTCCTGTGGATTCAATCTGGAGCTTCATTTCTATCGAACTTTCATAAATTAACTTGTTCGAATCCAATAAAACAGCGAGATAAGGAATTTTTTTCTAAACCTTCCAAAACTCCCGTAAATTCCACCTCCAGCTTAATTTCAATCAAATTCTAACAAATTTACTTGCTAAAGTCCGAAGAACTACAAGGATTAACAATTTCTTTTCAAAACCTTCCTAAATCCTCTCTCGATCTTCATTCCGACAAAACTCTCACAAATCTTCTTGCTACAGCCCTAAATATCAAATAAACCACCAATTTCGTAACAAAACCGTCAAAAACCTCCAAAAACCACGATAATTCCATCAATTCCTCCGATCATTATCCCTAGGAACAAACAGGAAAAGAAAAAACTAAACCAATCGATTACAGCATCTGACATACCGTAAAAGAATGAATGAGCAACTGACAAATGGTGAGTTGCAGGTGGATTGGAGAAGAAGATCATAAATCCGGAGTTATGGCAAGCGTGCGCCGGTCCACTGGCGAACCTACCACCGGCCGGTTACCACGTAGTGTATTTTCCTCAAGGCCACAGCGAACAGGTGGGCCGCTACGGCGGCGGCGGCGGCGGCGCCTTTCTCTTATTTCTCCCCTTTTTACTGTACACTCATAGCCATTATTTTGCTATTATGCGCCGCTTTTGAATGTTGCTTTTTACTGTTATTTGTTTGTTAATATTGTTATTATCTGCTTCATTTAACCATTGGAATTTCTCCTTTTACAACTTTAATTTATACATGGGATTAATTATTGTCCTATGTCCTTAGCATTTATGAATATTATTTTTATTTTTATTTTTTTTGTCGTTCAGATTTAAATTAAATAAATTCTATTTTTCTCCTTATTCCTTTTATTTAGAAAATCATCTCTTTAATATTTTTGGCCTGGTTCTTTATATTATTAGAATATTCATTATATATATATATATATTTTTTTTTTAATTTTTATAAAATAAAGTAAGATTAAATAAAAAAAGGTTAATCAGAATATTGACTATTTTGTGTTTTTTTTTTTTTTTTTTTTAA